TGATGCTGCTGCTGCTCTTGGTACCCCTGCTGCGGCTGCTGCTGCTCCTGCTGCTGCTGCTGCTGTTGCTACTGTTCCTGCTGGTCTTGCTGTTGTTGGTGGTGATGCTGGTGTTGCTGCTGCTGCTGATGTTGGCGGTGGTGGTGGTGCTGCTGCTGTTGCCGCTATTCCTGCTGCTGGTAGTGGTGATGCTGCTGTTGCTGTTGTTGGTAGTGGTGATGCTGCTGTTGCTGCTGCTGCTGATGTTGTTGGTGGTGGTGGTGATGCTTGCTGCTTCTGCCGCTGTTGCTGCTGTTGCTGTTGATGCTGCTGTTGTTGCTGTTCCTGCTGTTGGTGGTGGTGATGCTGCTGTTCCCGCTATTCCTGCTGTTGTTGCTGTTCCTGGTGTTGGTGGTGGTGATGCTGCCATTGCTGCTGCTTATGATAGCTGCTGATGTTGTTGGTGGTGGTGGTGATGCTTGCTGCTTCTGCCGCTGTTGCTGCTGTTGCTGTTGATGCTGCTGTTGTTGCTGTTCCTGCTGTTGGTGGTGGTGATGCTGCTGTTCCCGCTATTCCTGCTGTTGTTGCTGTTCCTGGTGTTGGTGGTGGTGATGCTGCCATTGCTGCTGCTTATGATATTGGTGGTGCTGTTGCTGCTGCTGCTGCTGCTGATATTGGTGGTGGTGGTGCTGCTGCTGCTGCTGTTGCCGCTGTTGCTGTTGTTCCTGCTTTTCCTGCTGTTGAAGCTGCTACTAATGTTTGTGGTGGTGCTGCTGCTCTTTGCGCTGTTCCTGTTGTTGGTGGTGGTGATGCTGCTGTTGCTGTTGCTGCTGTTGCTGCTGGTCCTGCTGGTCCTGCTTTTGGTGGTGGTGTCGCTGCTGTTGCCGCTGTTGCTGCTGATGGTGGTGGTGATGCTGCTGTTGCTGCTCCTGTTGGTGGTGCTTCTGTTGCTTCTGTTGTTCTCGGAGGTGTTGCGTTTCTGCTGTTGCTGGTGGTGGTGGCGATGGTAGTGTCGGAGGTTTCTTCTGCCGCTGTTGTTTCTGTTGCTTTTGTTGCTGCTAGTGCTGCCTTTGCTGCTGTTTCCTATTTTGCTGCTTTTGCTGCTGACAATGCTGTTGATTTTGTTGCTGTTGCTGCTGACAATGCTGTTGATTTCGTTGCTGTTGTTGGCGGTGGTAGTGCCGCTGTTGCTGATGTTGCTGGTGTTGTTGGCGGTGGTGTTGCTGGTTGAGATGGTGTTTGCGCTGCTGTTTGCGCTGCTGTTGCTGCTACTGCTGCTGAACCTGCTGATGCTGCTGGTTAGGCTGGAGGTGTAGTTGCTGCTGCTGGTGCTCCTGCTCCTGTTGTTGCTGCATTTACTGCGGTTGCTGCTGTCAGTGGGGGTACTTTTGCTGCTTTTGTTGTTGCCGCTGTTGATGCTGCTACTGGTGTTGTTGCTGATGTTGCTGCTGTTGGTTCTGTTGGTGGTGGTGGCGGTGGTGGTGGTGGTGGTGGTGGTGGTGGTGGTGGTGGTGGTGCAACTGCTGCTGCTGCTGGTGGTGTTGGTTCTATTGCTGCTGTTGTTGTTGTTGCTGCCTGATGGTGCTGATGCTGTTGTTGGTGTTGCTTCTGTCGCTGCTGTTGTTGCTTTTGCTGCTGTTGCTGCTGTTGGTGGTGGTGGTGGTGCAACTGCTGCTGCTGCTGGTGGTGTTGGTTCTATTGCTGCTGTTGGTGGTGGTGGTGGTGCAACTGCTGCTGCTGCTGGTGGTGTTGGTTCTATTGCTGCTGTTGTTGTTGTTGCTGCCTGATGGTGCTGATGCTGTTGTTGGTGTTGCTTCTGTCGCTGCTGTTGTTGCTTTTGCTGCTGTTGCTGCTGTTGGTGGTGGTGGTGCTGCTGTTGCTGCTGTTGCTGCTGTTGGTGGTGGTGCTGCTGCTGTTGCTGCTGTTGCTGCTGTTGGTGGTGGTGGTGCTGCTGTTGCTGCTGTTGGTGGTGGTGGTGCTGCTGTTGCTGCTGTTGCTGCTGTTGGTGGTGGTGGTGCTGCTGTTGCTGCTGTTGGTGGTGGCGGTGCTGCTGTTGCTGCTGTTGGTGGTGGTGGTGGTGCTGTTGCTGCTGTTGGTGGTGGTGGTGGTGCTGTTGCTGCTGTTGGTGGTGGTGGTGGTGCTGTTGCTGCTGTTGGTGGTGGTGGTGCTGCTGTTGCTGCTGTTGGTGGTGGTGGTGCTGCTGTTGCTGCTGTTGGTGGTGGTGGTGCTGCTGTTGCTGCTGTTGGTGGTGGTGCTGCTGCTGTTGCTGCTGTTGCTGCTGTTGGTGGTGGTGGTGCTGCTGTTGCTGCTGTTGGTGGTGGTGGTGCTGCTGTTGCTGCTGTTGCTGCTGTTGGTGGTGGTGGTGCTGCTGTTGCTGCAGTTGGTGGTGGTGGTGCTGCTGTTGCTGCTGTTGGTGGTGGTGGTGCTGCTGTTGCTGCTGTTGCTGCTGTTGGTGGTGGTGGTGCTGCTGTTGGTGGTGGTGGTGGTGCTGTTGCTGCTGTTGGTGGTGGTGGTGCTGCTGTTGCTGCTGTTGGTGGTGGTGGTGCTGCTGTTGCTGCTGTTGGTGGTGGTGGTGCTGCTGTTGGTGCTGTTGGTGGTGGTGGTGCTGCTGTTGCTGCTGTTGGTGCTGTTGGTTGTGCTGCTGTTGCTGCTGTTGGTGGTGGTGGTGCTGCTGTTGCTGCTGTTGGTGGTGGTGGTGCTGCTGTTGCTGCTGTTGGTGCTGTTGGTGGTGGTGGTGCTGCTGTTGCTGCTGTTGGTGCTGTTGGTGGTGGTGGTGCTGCTGTTGCTGCTGTTGCTGCTGTTGGTGGTGGTGCTGCTGTTGCTGCTGTTGGTGGTGGTGGTGCTGCTGTTGCTGCTGTTGCTGCTGTTGGTGGTGGTGCTGCTGTAAGTGCTGGTGCTGTAGTTGTTGTTGCTGGTACTGGCACTTCTGGTGCAGCTGGTGCTCTTGGTGCTGGTGCTCCTGACACTGCTGCTGCCGATGCTGGTGCTAATGCCGCTATGCTGGTGTTTCTTGCCGCTGCTGTTGGTGGTTGTTTTCTTGTTGGTGGTGGTGTTGCTTCTGCTTTTGTTTCTGTTGCTGTTGTTGGATCTGTTGCTCCTGTCGCTGTTGTCGCTTTTGCTGCTGTTGCTGCTGTTGGTGGTGGTGGTGCTGGTGTTCCTGGTGCTACTGCTGATTCTGCTGCTGGTGCTGCTGGTGGTGGTGCTACGCTGCTGATGATGTTGCTTCTCTTGCTGCTGTTGTTGCTGGTGGTGGTGCTGCTGTTGTTGCTGCTGTTGCTTGTGCTGCTGGTGTAGGTGCTGCCGATGCAGCTACCGGTGCTGCTAATGCTATTGGTAATGCTGCTGCTGTTGCTTCTGTTGCTTCTGTCGCTGTCGTTGTCTCTGTTGCTACTGTTACTGCTGTTGATAGGGGTGGTGGTGCTCCTGCTACTGTTGCCTCTGGTGTTCTTGCTGCTGTTGCTGTTGGCTGTGGTGGTGGTCGTGTCGCAACTGGTGCTGCTGTTGGGGGTGGTGGTGCTGCTGTTGATGTTGCTCCTGTTGGTGGTGGTGGTCACTTGGCCGCTGTTGCTGTTGTTGGAGCTTTTGCTGGTGTTGGAGCTGTTGCTGCTGGTGCTGCTGTTGCTGCTGTTGCTGCTATTGCTGCTGTTGGTGGTCGTGATGCTACTGTTGCTGCTGGTGATGGTGCCACTGTTGCTGTTTCTGGTGCTGCTACTGGTACTGCTGTCGCTATTGTTGCCACATTTGCTGTTGCTGGTGGCGATGATGTTATAGTTGTTGCTGGTAATGGCGCAGCTGCTGCAGCTGGTAATGGCGCAGCTGCTGCAGCTGTTGCATGCGGTGTTTGCTGCTGTTGGTGCGGCTGCCAATGCTGTGGCTGATGCTGCTGTTTGTACCGCTGTGCTGTAGGTGCTGCTGCTCTTGCTGCTGGTGGTGATGGTGCTGCTGTTCCTGCTGTTCATGCTGCGGTTGTTGTTGTTGGTGGTGGTGGTGGCGGCGGTGCTGCTGCTGTTGTTGGGGCTGCTGCTGTTGCTGCTGTTGTTGGTGGCGGTGTAATGGTGGTGATTTTGTTCCCTTTGCTGTTGCTGCTGCTGTGGCTGCCGTTGCTGCTGCTGCTGTTGCTGCTACTGTTGCTGCTGCTGCTGTTGGTGCTGGTGCTGCTTTCTCCTGCTTATGGTGCTGCTGGTGGTGATTTTGCTGCTGTTGCTGCTATTGATGTTTTAACTGCTGTTGCTGCTGTTGCTGCTGCTGCTGCGGCTACTACTGTTGCTGCTGCTGCGGCTGTTGCTGCTGTTGCTGCTGCTGCTGCTGCGGCTACTACTGTTGCTGCTGTTGCTGCTGCTGCTGCGGCTACTACTGTTGCTGTTTCTGTTGGTGTACCTGGTGGTGTTCTTGTTGCTGGTTCTGGTGGTGCTGCTGTCCTGCTGCTCATGCTGCTACTGGGAGTGTTGCTGCTGTTGCTGGTGTTGCTGGTGTTCAGTGGTGGTTGTGGTGATCATGGTGCTGGTGTTGCTGCTGGTGGTGGTGCTGCTGGTGCTGTTACTGCTGCTGTTGCTGCTATCGGTGGTGGTGGTGCTGCTGCTGCTCTGGCTGTGGCGTCTGTTGTTGTCGCGGCTATTTGTTTTGGTGCTGCTGTTGCTCATGCTGCTGCTATGGCTTTGCAGTTTTTGGTGTTTGCTTCTGTTTGCTGCCATGGCTATCTTTACACTGTCTTGAAGTTTGTGCTTCTTCATATTTTGCAGCCGAAGGGTTCTTACAGGATGTGCATGTTTTAACTCTAGTTCTAGTAGTCAAGTATTGCCCCTAGTGACCCCATACAGACCATGTATGCTGCTAATGTGAGTTATACTCGGAAACCTGTATTCATGTACTATCTAGAACCACATTGTGGGGAAAACCCCCACGAAAGCAAGCTTCACTGTTGACCACATTTTGTGTTTTTTCTACTGCTGCTTCTCTGCTGCTGCTGCTGCTCCTGCTTCTGGCTGGCTGCTGCTGTTACTGTTCATTCTGATCCCCGTAAGGTCGGCGCAAGTCGCGTGATCGCACAGAACCAATGGCTTTGCCTGACCTGGCGTGCAGTACAGGGCTGGTGATTCACTTGTGGAGTACACGCAAGACGTTCCCTATCTTCCCCTACCTGGTGGACGCTATTGATGGACTCATTGAGGAATGGTTCCCAGGTCAGTTCAAGATCTTTTTTCCTGCACAGCGCATACACACTGAGTGCGTTCGATTATGCCCGCGAATCGAATCATGAATGGAATCTCGCCGTTCGATTTCATGTCATGAGCCCTGGAATCGATTCGGAATCCATTCACCCTGTTTTCATGGGGTGGTGTGAATAGCCAGGGGCGATTCATGAATGGATTCAACATCGATTCGCGGGCAGAGTCGAACGCACTCACTGATCAAGCAAGGAGTTGTAGCATCTTGGGATACAGCATGAGATCACACTATCTGATTATATGATGTGCACTTTGACATCAGATTTGAAAACTCTACGTGATCCATGGTCTGTGCAACTCGCAATCGTGGGCTTGGCCTGCTGTGTCCAGACCAGCGATGCCGCATGTGAGCGTGTATACATCGGCTCTGCCCCTAGCCGGGGCGGCGACTGCAACTCGCAGCCTAAGAGCAAACCCCGTATTGTGTCATGTTACAGTCGCCCATGTTGTCTCCTTTGATGCTACCACTCTCCGGTGCAGACACATGTGAAGGAGTGACTTCTTCATTAATATCTTTTTTTAGCTCAACATAGCGAGCAGGGGGTTAAGGGGGGGGGGGGGCAGTGTTGTGTTCTTTATTAAGAGGACGGTAATGTGTTGTGCTCTAGCGAGTAGTGTTTGTGTGTGTGGGTGGGGGGGGGGGTATTATTTTCACAAACTGGTGTTGCTGATTGTTGCTTTTGGTCTGTTCTTATTGCTGCAAGTTAATCCTTAATTTTAGGAATCATGTCCTGTGTTTTTAATTACGTATGTTACGCATGCTGTATCTTAGCTATAGTAGTATAGTGGTTTAAACATCTCATATTTAATATTATTATTTTTTTCTCACCCCACACCCCTCTACTCTGTTATCGGCCCTCTTAAGAGTTGTGTTCATTACTGTTGAGGCTTCCGATGGAAAATAGAAGAATACTACTACTACTACTACTACTACTACTACTACTACTACTACTACTACTATGCCGTAGCCAGATATTAGCCTGTTGTCAGTATGTGCTGGGATTTCGTCATTACTTGCGCATGTATATGGGCTGCATCTTATTGTTACTAAGGATGCTCTTCAACTTTCTGTTGTGTTTGTGTGTGTTTGTCCAGGCTTGTGTGACATTGACATCACTGGAGACCAGTTGGTGCAGAAAATGGCTACATACAGGTCACTGACTATCCTATCTGCTGATGGCCAGGCGCCGACAGAAGACGCTGATGAGCTACGTGAAATGTCCAAGGTCATGAGCGGTGACTCAGCGTTTGAAGACTCCCCAGACGGTGGTGGTGGCATGTCCTCGTTGGATTCCACGGCCGTCTTCTTCCCGCTGCGCACCTGCGCTTTGGCCGCACTGAGCAGCCACGATGCTGTCTGGAAGCAGAGGCGTGTACCCCTGCAACAGCTAGCCCCGGAGCTGACACTGTCGGATCTGCCCGACGAGCTGCTACTTAAACCAGAACTGCTGGAGTTTGAAGCATCTAGCAAAACCCTCCTTGGCCGCGGCGGTGCTGGTGTGGTCTACCGTGCCAAGTACAACGGTACGCCCGTAGCTATGAAACAGTTCTCCACTACGGTCTCTACGTACCGCGATTCACCCGCCGATGTGTCCGCCGCAGAGCTGTTCAGCGCGGAGGAGTGCGAGGGCCTGTCGTTTGAACTGCTCCAGGCCAGCGACGATGCACTGACGCTGCTGCGACAGCTGCGTCAGGAGATCACCGTGCTACGGTTGCTGAAGCATCCGTGTGTGGTGCGCCTGATCGGTGTGCAGCTGCACCCTATCTGCTTCGCTCTGGAGCTAGCTCCAATGGGCAGTCTGCTGGACCTGATGGAGAAGCAAGTGGCACAGCAACCACCTGTTCCAGCAGGTTCACTCATTGGTCCGGTGTTCGGGCATGTGCTCACGCACAGGATTCTTCTGCAGGTTGGTGTTCTTGGGACTACTGTTGACATTGTGAAGTTTACGTGTATGCGTGCATGTGTGGTGGTGGTGGTGGTGGCGGTGCTGCTGCTAGTGAAGACAGTGAAGATTGTACGGCTGGTAGAAATCAACATTATGTGCAAGTGCTGCTGGTACTGCTGGTGATTTTGGTGGTACTGCTGGCGGGTGTTCTGCTGGTACTGCTGATTGTCACACTGGTGGTGCTGCTACTACTGGTGCTGGTGGTCCTGGTGCTGCTACTGGTGCTACTGGTGCTACTGGTGCTACTGGTGGCGGTGCTGGTGATGGTGCTGCTACTGGTGCTGGTGCTGCTACTGGTGCTGGCGCTGCTACTGGTGGCGATGCTGCTACTGGTGGTGATGCTGGTGCTGGTGGTGATGCTGGTGGTGATGCTGGTGGTGATGCTGGTGCTGGCGGTGCTGCTGCTGCTGCAGCCGGTGCTGGTGCTGCTACTGCTGCTACTGCCAGTGATGCTGCTGCTGGTGATGCTACTGGTGGTGGTGCTGCTGGTGCTGGTGCTGCTACTGGTGGTGGTCACCGGGTGGTGGTGCTGCTGCTGCTGGTGATGTTGCTACTGCTGCTGATGCTGGTGTTGCTACTGGTGCTGCAGCTGGTGCTGCTGGTGGTGGTGGTGGTGCTGCTGCTGCTGCCCCTGCTGCTGCTGGTGGTGGTGGTGCTCAGTGCTGCTGCTGCTGCTGCTGCTGGTGGTGGTGGTGGTGCTGCTGCTGCTGCTGCTGGTGGTGCTGCTGCTGCTGTTGGTGGTGGTGCTGCTGCTGATGGTGCCGGTGCTGGTGTTGCTGATGATGCCGGTGCTGGTGATGCTACTGGTGGTGGTGCTGCTGCTGATGGTGCCGGTGCTGGTGTTGCTGATGGTGCCAGTGCTGGTGCTGCTACTGGTGGTGGTGGTGCATATTAGCTGCTTTGAGTACAACTGTTGTAGGTCGTACCGCAGTCGCATAGCAGCAACTTCTAGATAATATATTGTAGCACTGAGAACTGTTGCTAGTATTGCTGTGGCAATGGCATTCTGTCAAGTACTCTTGGAGTATGTAGCCGCAGTGAACCTGTCACCAACTCTGTGCCTATTCATACGCAATGGTGTCTGTCTACGTCTACGTGGAAACATCACAGAGTCACATCGGGCATGATAGTCCTGACTTTTGCCATAATGTTGTCAGCTGCTCTGGGTAAAACTATTTTCCCCCGGGCATTCTCAGAAGACAGTCTAGCAGTAATATGTGATGATGGATAACTCAACGCACAGTGGTTCTTCTTTTCGAATCTTGCTCTGTTGTGTGCTGTGTGTCACTGAATACAGTATTGGTGCTCTGAACTTGCCTCACTGTGCTTGTGTCCTACGCCATTCTACCAGTCATCCTCAATGTTTGCTTAGTGTCATATCTCTCATTAGCGACCACAGCATGGCACACAGATAGCTGGTCTTCAGAGATAACTGTTTGTAGACGAGTAATCAGCGATCGAATGCATGTTGCAGCATGCTTTGGCCGGGGTTTGGACCTAGGATAAACTCTCTTGTGGCAGAATCTGGTGTACCTGCTTGCCCAAGTGAGGATTGTGAATTGCTGTATTTGCTGGTGTGTTATGCTTGTGTTCAGGTTGCGACTGCGGTGAGGTATCTTCATTCCCAGGACATCATCTACCGTGATCTGAAAGGAGACAACATACTGGTGTGGTCTCTAGCACCACTTACCTACGGCTCCGCTGCTCAACTGCCTTCACCCTGCTCCGGCCACCGATACACGTCGCTCAATTCCTCAATGGCAGACGCAAGCAGGCTGATCAACGTTCGCATTGCGGACTATGGCATTTCGCGCGTTGCCACACCAGGTGGTCTGAAGGGACAAGAGGGAACACCCGGATACCTTGCACCGGAAGCCATTTCCAGGAACGGTGCGCTTCTGGCCTATGACAACAAGGTATGGTGTGACGGAAGCCTTGCCGCGAGCTTTTTAGCTTCTTTGGCTAAACAGTCCCCACGGCACTCTTACTCTGGTTTGAGGTGCATAGTATGATGCTCTGCTGAGTTATTGGCAATAGTGAAGTCTGATGCTCTCGTAGCACGGCTGTGTGAATGTCATTGGCAATAGTGAAGTCTGATGCTCTCGTAGCACGGCGGTGTGAATGTCATTGGCAATAGTGAAGTCTGGTGCTCTCATAGCACGGCTGTGTGAATGTCATTGGCAATAGTGAAGTCTGATGCTCTCGTAGCATGGCGGTGTGAATGTCATTGGCAATAGTGAAGTCTGATGCTCTCGTAGCACGGCGGTGTGAATGTCATTGGCAATAGTGAAGTCTGGTGCTCTCGTAGCACGGCTGTGTGAATGTCATTGGCAATAGTGAAGTCTGATGCTCTCGTAGCACGGCGGTGTGAATGTCATTGGCAATAGTGAAGTCTGATGCTCTCGTAGCACGGCGGTGTGAATGTCATTGGCAATAGTGAAGTCTGATGCTCTCGTAGCACGGCGGTGTGAATGTCATTGGCAATAGTGAAGTCTGATGCTCTCGTAGCACGGCGGTGTGAATGTCATTGGCAATAGAGAAGTCTGATGCTCTCGTAGCACGGCGGTGTGAATGTCTGCATCACTATTGTACTGGTTTACACCAGAATTGTAGTTTGTTGTTTTGAACGTTGTGTTTCATGATGATCCTGACCTTTGTCTTCTCTGTACCTCTCCTTTACCCCCCTCTACCTCTCTCTCCCTCCACTCTTCCTTGTCAACAGGTTGACATATTCTCCTATGGAATGTTTGTGTTTGAATTGCTGAGTGGAGGACGGCCGTTCGGCGAGCTTGACAATCCCACTGACATTAACCGAGCCATCACGAACCAACAAAGGCCAGAGGTACTACT